CCCTATCCACATGGCCATCAAATAAAGGACCAGCAATTTTCATTTATTGCACACATTTCAATTATATCGAGTGCCAGGCCCGAATCGAACTCGTGACAAATGCCTATTGCGGGATGGATTTACACGGGCCCTGGCCACAAATGGAAGTCATTTATCAAAAACAAAGGCGCTGACTCGACTGCCTTCACCTGGAGATAAGAAAAGCCCGGAAAGCCCATCCAAGGACCTTTTGTTCGGTTCGATGTTGCCATTTCGGGGGAGGGTCCTTCGTTGCTGACAACCGGAGATAAATACGCATATACAGGTCATTTTATTGTCCTCCCCTTTCGGGTTCGGTGGGATTGGAGCTCTGGCTGGGAAATCAGTGTGCTGTGCATATTTAATGGCGTATGCAAATGCAAAGGGTCTCGAAATGGCTCAAAGGCTTGTTTATTCACGAGTCCAACAATGCCACGAAAACATATTTAACTCACTGGCATTGTGTCTTGTATCTTCGGTTATCCACCATTTGTAAGCCATCCGAATGTCAAAGGAAGCCCCCTGACAAGCCACTTGGCCCTAGTTCCTTTCTTGGCCCGCCTTAAGGACCCCAATCCGCATTAGACTGCGCAGCTGTCCTAAATCAAATAGCCCATATTTTTGCCTGTCACACGACACGACCTCTTATCGACGGTCTGGCTTTGACCTAGCTTACCTAAAAGAATACCTAAGAATGCCCCTCTTTCCAATCAACAAAATGCCGATTAAGGCCACTTTAAATAATACGCCTAATACATCCATGCAGATTCCCTAGAACTTTCTTTGTGTTCTTAGTGGCAAAGATCTGAATACCTTTTTAAGACTCAAAACTCAAACATTTCGTTTTCCATTTTCTGTACCAATAATTGCAGGCATTCTTATGAAAAGCCAAAATGGATCTATTTTTAACAGAACTTTGATCAAATTGACCCCATTTCGGGCACTGTAAATCAACTTTAGGTGGGGGTAGGGGATGTTTCGGTTTGTACTTTGACGAGCGGCAGGTGTGAAACATTTCATTGCCCAAAAATAACGACCTCTGTGAATTCCCAACATCCCCCGGCGGTTGTATATTTATTGTCTAAACGAATCTGCGGGAGTGCTCCGAAATTAATGGCCGTGGCAAGCAGTAAGGGAACTCAGGGGAGGGCTTTAAAACTAAGTTACCTGCCCCCGGCCCAGTGGAGCGTCCTTATCGATTGGGTTCGCGCCTTAATTATGAGTCCGGGCGAAAGGGACTGGAGCTGGCCAAGCTTTTTCACTGATTGCACAACCGATGCTGATTGATGGCCCCTTGTCAGTTAGATTAATCGACTGGCCCTGGCTAAGCGAAAAACTTAAAGTGCAGCAAAAACCTCGTCAGCAGGTCCTAAGTGCATAGAGAGTACATGAAAATCGCATTTGCTACTTCTGTGGCCAGAGTTAATTTGGTTAAATGCATTCTGGAGAGGCGGCTTTGGGTGAATGTCTGATTTAAAGCCCTAACAAAGAAGGCAGCTGGGCATTAATATTAAATGTGCCCGAGAAAGGTTTGGAGCTCGCCGTGGAGGGGCTCCAATCATGCGCAACTTGAAACAAATTGTTGAGCATTCCGCTAGAGCCAGGGTCTCGACCCAAGACGAGGGCAATATATGTTAGCCAAGTCAAGCAAAAGGCTGGCAACAAGTAAGCAAACAAACAACAATGTCTTGGATGTGTGCATTAAAAGTCAACGACTCGGCAAATGAATTGCAGGCCCAGGCAAATTAAATTAGCGCAGCAACTTGATGTCCTTGTGGGTGACCCCAAGTCGAAATTGTATTTATTTGGGGATCCAGGACCAGCCAACCCGAAACCCGACTGTCCACTTTATGAGTCGTCGGCCTGGCCCCAAAATTCGCATTAAATATTTAACTTACCTGACGTAAAATGCGCTTAATGCTCATCAATAATCTGCGTGGAGCGGACCTAATTAGTCAAATCCAAAGAGTAGTGTGTGTTCTTGGCTCTTCGGTCAGCTCAGAACACTAAATTGCTGGGAAATAATTAAAGTTAATTGAACATAAAGAAGAAACAGCGGAAACTTGATAGGCCTGCCCAAGTTCCATTAAATCTTTGGCTGATATTTCACTTGGCAGTGGGCCGAATTTAAATATGTAGGCAGCTCCGATTTCACAGCTCAGCATCTGACATAATTGCACTGCCAACCAAGTTGTCCTCTAAGCCAGCTTTAATGTGTTGCCAGAAGACGTAAAGAGAGTGAGCTAAGAGCGGGCCGAAGAGAGCCGAAGAGCGGACATGCGCAGTGCCTAGCAGATCCTGTTGCTGCTATGCCCCGCCTGCCAGGGCTTACGTTGCGTATACGCAATGTTACGTTGCCCATAAGCCACGTAGTGGCAAAGAAGGCCAGCTGGACCCAAGGAAGGACGAAGGACGGCCAGCAGTTGGCGGCATCCAACGCATTCGAGCGGTACTCAAGCGGAAGTGCGAGCAACAAACAGCTTAAGTCCACAGTCTAGCATTCCTGGGCGTACATAATGGATATATATGCATAAAGATATATACTATAGCCCCTGGGCGCATTGTTCAGCAGGCATTATGGAACGTGTCTGGGCATCTCTTGAGTTTTCGGGACCCTCTTGGGTCGCAAGGTGTTTTTTGGAAGCACTATTAAGGCGCTCGCCAATTCAAATCCATAAAAGTGTCATTAGGGTGGCGCATAAAACACAAAAGGTGCGCTCAGAAATTAATTAAAAAGGCAAACTCAAGTCCGGAATTAATGGCGGCCAAGATTTATGCAAGGGGAGTTTGCCTTTTACAAACATCCTTGCTGAAATCTATTTGCCTTAAAAGTGTTTCAATTCATTTGGCAGCCATTGCCGAGTGAATGCTAGCTCAAGCCTGGATGGGCACTTCACAGGTCCATTTCATTGGCTACATAAATAGTTGTCTTTCCCCCTTCGCCACCCCCTTTGCCCCAAAATAGAATATTAAATTTGTTTTCGTGATGGGGCGGGAAAGGTCAGGCGTTTAATTTTGCACGCAAAAATTAGCAAAAATAGAAGTTAAATATTTATGGACCTCAGGACACGTGGGTGGCCCCAACTCAGGCTCGGTTGTTCTCGGACACTACCGCCGGCCCTTGTTTACGTTTTGAGCTTTGTTTGCCCCATAAAACAGCAGTCCCAACGAATGTCAGATTGTCCAAATGAAGTAATATGAGTGTGTGTGTGTAGGGCAAACACTGTCACACAGATAAGCACACCCCCTCACATAGAGTTGTGGGCAATTAAGCGATGTGCTTAAGCCTGATGAGGTTTTCAGCGCGAGATAAATATCGTAGGAATAAAAGAAAGCAGCCCGACCACATTTGTCAGCCCAGCCGCCTTAATGATACACAGGGAGATAGCAGTGACATCTATCCATCTTGATTTTCTATTTAACTTGTACTCAGCTCTGGCAAAACATCTCTAACCAGTTCCAGTGGCATTTAGATATGACGACGGAGCATAATAACTTTATATTCATAAATTCGACAATTTCCACTGGTCAAACGAGTTGCTCGACTTGGGATATAAAATATATGAATAAAATAGCAATATAACATAAGCATATATTATGCAGAAGTTTCTTTAGCTGTTTCGTTCAGTGTGGGAGCATATAAATGGCTCTGTCGAGGGTAATAATTGCGCAGGCATATTACAGTTATTTGCCGAAGTAGGAGTAAGCATGAGATTAATTTGTTTACACTCGAGTGGAAGGGGCGAGTATTTGAGGGGGGCTTTCTCTGATTACCCAGCTCAACTCTATTTGGAAATCGTATTCGAGTGTGGGGTTATGTGCCACCTGTTGCATTGAACCCTGGCTGATTTGGGGGAATGAACTTTGGCAAACACTAACCCGACATTAAATTCCCCAACGAGTGCCGTTTCATTAGGAGCTAAACATAAATTGGCTTTTAAGTCGCTGCTAGTTGTATTTGTCTGCTGCCTTCTGACTGCTGTCTGTTGCTTTGTTTAAAGTTCAGAGAGCGTGAAATGCTAACAAGTTAATTGAAATTCCTGCAGCGTTTCACGTGCGATTGTTTGCTCTCGCAGGACACAACAAGAAAATTGAAGCTCACCCCGACGGAAAGCATTTTCTTTTCATTCTGCGCTGGCTGACTGACTTCTCTTTCCTTTTTAGCCTCTTGCCATTTCCCTTGGCTGAGCAAACACTTAGCTGGTGTGAAAAAATGTAGACGAGTGTAAATTTATATTCCCTTCTGCGGAAAAGGGGGTCTTCGGCCACTTAGTGCTGCTAGCCGGGAAATATGAGAGCTCAGTGTATAACTTCGACGCGGGCCATAAAGGAATTTAAATATTTCTCCAAGATAAAAGCTATTTGCATTGTTTATTCAGCGTGACTTCAAACAGCCAAGGTATCTCTTCTGTTTTCTGTTTTCTGTTCTCAGTTTTCAGTTTTCCAGGTGTGTTGAAAGTCCCAGGAACTGCCAAGTCTCAAGTTCTTGCACATGAGCGCACAACTTTTGCGAACGGAGGAGCTCTCGGCGAACTAAAACTATAAAGGAAGTCCAGATGTAGCATTTATAATACCAAAGTTTCCGCCATCCCCCTTCGTTTTGGCTGCCTGGGATTTACATACTCATATCTCACATAATGTGTGTATAAATAAACCGTGGAGCCGCTAAAAGCCACACCGCATCAAAATGGCCCCCGGGAATTGCGTCAGAATGAGAATGTGTGGCCGCGTTTTCGTACGGCTCTATCGGTTTTGGTTTATCCGCACACTGAACCAAAAATATAAGCAAAACAAAATGGGTTTATTTAGTTTGTTTTCGCTTTTGCCACAGCCATAAAACAACTCAAAGTTGTAAATAATTTGGGCATAAAATAGGGAATATAAAGGGAAAGCCCCCACGACTTTGCCACTGTCCTTACCCATATTTTTTGTACGACCGAATTACAGTCGTGTTCAGGGTAATAGTAGTTATGGTAGATAAATAATCTTCATTAAATCTATTTAATAATAATATCAATATCCATAAATCAAAAATATAAACAGATTACAACAAAAAGTTAACTAGGAAGTACAATGCCTTCCCTTGGCGGCCTGCGTCTGCGTTGCCCTATACTTCTCGATCAGCCTCTGCATCTCAGCTTTCTCAACATTTTTGTAGATGGTGATGTTATCCAGTCGCTGCAGAGTGGCCATTTCCACCTTGGAGGATCTCAACTTTCCACTATCATAGGTCATGTCCAAGACCTTGATGGCCACATACTTGGCGTGCTCGAGTGTCGGAGCCACGTATCCTCTGGCAAAAAGTTCCTGCTGCAGGATACCCACGGCCGCCCCCGACTTGCGGCCAATAGAAGTGGCCTTCCAGCCACTGTAGTTTCCACTGGGATCCGACTGGTATAGCTGGAAACCAAAGCGGGAGTCCCAGCCCATGTAAAGCAGAGATACGCCGAAGGGCCGCTTGCCTCCATATTGCGTATACGCCTGTTTGATGTCGCACAGGTTCGAGACCAACTGCTCGCAGGGAATACCCTCTCCGTAGGTGCAGAAGTACTGCTGAGCGATCAGCCTCATCTCGGTGGTCAGCACATTGCCATCCGCCGTGTTGCCCGTGGCACAGCAGGCCGTGTCCAAGCTCGACCGACAGATCCTGTGCACAGGAATGCTGGGGTCCAAAAGTTTGTTCGTGGTCCGGATGGTGGCCAACAGAGCACTGTCCTTGGCAAGGATTCCCACGCAGGTGGCCGATCGCGAAGCGGCTTCCATGGCATATTCCACCTGGTAGAGTCGGCCCTCCGGAGAGAAGATCGTGGTTCGAGAGTCGTAGAGACGAGCCATTGTAAGAGAGTATATAAAAATATAAAGGATCTCACTCTTTCGGTGTTCAAAGGAGAGGCTTACATAAGAAAATGTATAACTATTTTCAAACTTAAAAGTGCCTGCAAACTAGATAGGTAAAATGATAAAAAATGATTTTTTTTTTCTTTCTTCTTTGAGTGGGAAGTTGCTCCTTTTTTTATTTTAGATATTTTAACAGCATTACACTTTTTTATTTTATGTTGATAAATTAAAATAAATCTAGTTCTTAAAACAATAAAATTTGTTTACCAAAGGACAACCATTATTTTTTTGAAGGCAGCTGTTGATGCATTTCCCTGAAAAAAGTTGGAAAAGCTGAACAAAAACGTAAAGGCCACTACTTTACCATTCCCTTTAACCATCATTTATTCTCATTTTCCGCAGTGAAAAGTGTATGTGGCATTGGGGATTATTGCACAAAGCGCATAAACTTATTAAATATGCAAAATCTCTCATTTTTTCTGCGGCAAATGGAAAGGCTCGTCTGTCAGTCGGAAATTTGAGGCTCTGCTGTGTTTTATGATAAATGATTTGCCAACGGGGAGTTGTCGAGCGGGCCTGGGGCCATAAATAATGCACGGGGCCAAAGGTCAAAGGTAAACCAATGCCGCTGGGCCTCTGTGGCGTCTTCATTAATGTCAAACTCCATTCCACAGAACGCTCTGTCAGTTTTCCAATTGACTGCAGTCGGCAAACTATCTTAATTAGTTTCTCGCTGGCCAAAAAGTTTATTCAACCCCTGGATTTGCCCAACCTGAATGGTGCAAAGGGAACTCGAAAGAGAACCGAAAAAGGATGTCGTGTTTGTGCAGTATAAAATCGATGATCCATTTTACGATCCTGATAGGTGATTAGGTAATGGTAATGGGTCTGTCTGGCCTCTCCGCACCCTGAAAACTGGAACGAGGCCACTCCCTGGAAAACGAGAGGAACACTCGAGAAGGGAATGGTGAATGGTCTTAAGTGGAGTGCGCCAAGTCGATTGGAAAGCAATTCGCTTGCCCTTGCCATGCATAAAATATGAGGCAACCAGGGGCCATAACTCAATTTGCTGCTACATGCATCCTCATCCCCATCCCCATTCCCATCCTCATTCCTATTCCCATTCCATCTCTGAAATCCCCGCATCATCATCAAATCGAAATCGGTATCGGAATAAAAATAAAATGCCTGTCTGCAATTCGGTTTAGTTCAAAAGCCCATCAAACTCATTACGTAGCATTCAGGCCTGACCATTTGGGCAGCACTTTCCTCCTTTCGGGCTGCTTTCTTTGTTTATTTTTTGACGGACGAATCCCCAACGTGGAGCGTATGTGACAGAGGATTTAGCACTCAGCGCCAGCTGGACTCAAATCAGCAGAAAAAAGGGAAAATGAGTGGGTGGCCATGGCTGATTATGATGCGCCCCTTGTATAACACATACGGAATAACACACATGAAATATGAAATATGAACAAGCGAGTGAGTGAGTGAGTGAGTGAGTGAGTGAGCGAGGCAGCACAGCTGAGCCGGAAACGACCCTCATCAATATGGATTTTATGATGGACATGTGGGCCACGTTCGCAGTGAGTTCCAGTCCGAGTTGAGTTTGTTAAATTAATTGCATAAATAATTTACATAGTAATTACACGCACTCCTACTCGAGACTCAGGAGGAGGAGACGCTCCTTTCCCCCTTTCCTGCATATAAATCAAAATGCTAATGCAATCGAGTCGATATTTGCATTTTACGTAATCTTGCAAATTCCTAATTACGTAATGCCACAAGCTGGTTGCCGGCCGCAGTCGTTGAGCTTTAATTGCGTTTCCGTTTCCGTTCCGCTGAGTTATCAAGTTCTAACCCCATCCCCTTGGTGGCAGTTGCACTGAACTATACTTCTGGTGGAAGGCAGTGATAGATAGGGTAAGGGGTAACTATGTCTTAATTAAAGACAAATTATCCTTTAATAACTATTAATTTGATTAACATGTAGTTAAGGATATAAAAATAATCTAAATAAGACTCTGTCAATATTAATGAATAAGACTTAATTAACCAATTGATGTCTGAATTTATGATGGCATTTCATGCTGATTAACTAGCATAATTAATCAAAAGGAAAACAAATCAGCGACTGCTCGGATTCTGCTCGGCTGATTACCATTTTACAATCAATCGAGTAGTCATAAAAATGCTTAAAGATCATTTACCAATTGACGGGGTGTGTATATGTTAATCTGGCCAATGGATTGATGATCGGCCGTTTCTCAATCGATCAGCGATCAGCGATCACCGATCAGCAGCAGGTCGAACCACTATTGCACGATCACAGCTTAATGGCTTAGCATATGAATCGCATTATGAGGTCTTTTGTTGGTGACTGTCCATCTTGGGATCAAATCCATATTCGAGAGAGACATCTTTTGGCATATCGAATGACAAGACAAACGATCGACGCGCTTTTAATGCGCATTGTCAGGCATAAAGAGGCGACGATTAAAAATCAATATAAATACATCGATGGCTATTGTGAGCGCACTACAAAGGAAGCTCTGGACACGCTTTATATCTCTTTATAGAAACCATTATGCAAATTCCCAAATAAAGACCCGACCCCATGTAAAGCAAGCGCTCATAAAGTTGATTTATGCAGCCGAATCATAGCGAATTTGAATAATTATAATGGCGTGAACAGCCGAAGAGTCGCCTCACAGTCTGAGCCCAAGAAACGCGACCCACAAATCTATCACTGGGATCTCTGGTGGTCAAGAAAAAATGGCAAAGATTGAGAAAATGGTATCTCCAAGGGGCCGGGGCCCTCGTTTGGCCAGATTTGGCTAGATTTGGAGGCACCTCGTGATCGATCCAACTGGATTGCCAAATGCATAAATCACGTGCCAGCGCCTCGAGAAACAGAATTAGATTTCACACAAAATAGAGAACGGAGATCTGAGATTGGAGAATGTCCGCGACTGGCTTCGCTGACTATTTGGTAGAAATTTATGTAAATGCAAGAGCCGAGACCCTGAACTTGAAACGAGTCGGCGGAGCAGAAGCTCCGATCACTTCAGTTTGCTGCTGAGTTACCTGGAGAACGGTCGGAAGTTCAGAGTGGGATCTGCCTGGAGGAAAACTTGTTAGACACGGACTCTAAGATCATGTACAGGACGTGTTTTTGGGTAAGATGGTTGCCGGAAACGCTTTCTATGGATATACATTCTCTGAGTGAATCATGATTTTGTGCCTCAGAATAGATTTACTGCGTGATTCATATACGATATACGATTCGCTGATCAAATGAAACATTTCCACTGGATATTAAAGTGAAGTGAATGGTAAAAGGCTGGAGTTGTTAGTGAATCAAATAAAATGAATCATAGAATATAATGTTCACCTTTAGTAGTTGTTTTCAACGATTCTGCCACTAAATAAATACATCTTTAAAGACAAAAGTTTTCATTTGCTTAAAGCCAAGGCTGGCGCCTAAAACCTTTTACCATCTAAAAGGCTGAATATTCGCACATTATTTATTTGGCCATTTAAATGATTTATTAATTAAATGTAATTTGTCTTGCAGCTGTTAACCCTTGTGGCTGTGGCTAGTGCCGCCACCTTTGGCCGGGATTACCTGCCACGCCCAACGGCCAGGGCCTATGTCTACCCCACACCTCCGCCCAGCACAATGGCCCAGCTACGCCGGATAATCCAAGGTCACCTGGAGCGATTCCAGCAGGCGGAAGAGGCCCACTTCTCCCGTCGCGCGAATGTTCAGCTGGGAAAATCGGATTTGGCGGTGGAGAGGAAACCGCAGGCAATGCAATTGTGGGTGGTTCGCACGCCCACCGTTTCCGGCGCGGCCTCGGAAAACGTACTGGATTACGCCCTGGCACCCAACACGCCCACGCCGAAGGACTACGCGCATAAGTTCCTGCCCGAGGGCAAGGATGTGGTACCCGGAAGCTCTTACATACCACTGCGGTTGCTGGTGATAAAGCGCTGAAATCTGAAGTCTCGGGCAGCTCGGCGGCTTGGCGGCTTGGCTTTTGTTGTTCGAAAACAAGTTCCGGCGGAATGCCGATAGCAGATAGCAGATACCCGATACCCAATGTCCAACCAGTAGTTGGCTAATTGGCTTTAAGCTTACTGGTTCTTACCGCTAGTTTAGCAATACTTTAGTTGATTATGTTAAGGCCCACGTTGGCAGCCCAGTTCGCTAATCTAAATTAAGTCACCACATCCCGGAGGTCCGTCTCCAAGACTTACGACCTTACCGCATCCAATAAAATCGAAATTAGACTCAGCCGTGTGCCGTCGTAATCTATGAAATACATTCACCAAAAACTAAGTTGTCATCTCATTAACATAAATTAGAAGACATAAATTTGAAGTGAGCGGGGAACTACTTGGCTTCAAGCGGTTAAAAGCTGCCCACAAAACCGGTTGCCTTCTATCGGTAAGCTGTTATGAAAGCTTAAAGCTCCGACGCAGCTTAGTTCAGGTTTAGTCATTAACTAAGTTCGTGAAAGCTTCGCTGTTTTATTTCCAAAACCAATGCTTTGGATGTTTTCCATTTAAATATGCATACTTACTGGACTATTTATGACTTTTTAATTTCACCCCTTTATTAATATTCAAAGTTTGTTAGGAAAGTTGGTTGCTGAATCACTGCTTTGATGACTAACCCCTTATTCGAAGGGTAAGATAACCGGTAACCATAGAGCTGTAGAGATAAGAGATGGGATAACCAACCAGCAAAGCATTTTGGGCTCTACTTATTCTACGCTGAACTAACACCATTAAGGAAAATAACATCTAACTCTATCATCTAGATACTTTTTATTTATTAATGATTTAACTTAGTTAATTTCTTCAATTTACTTGCTAAAACTACATTAGTTAACCTAGCTAATTACTGGTACTTTGAGTAGATGACTGACTCAGGCGTTTCAAGCTGGAGTCCGTGGGCATTTCTATGGTTTCCTGATCTTTCTTTCTGCCCAAACTGCAGCAGAGACTTCGCCAGGCACGCTGATTATCCTTGTTGAAAACTATGAAGTAGATGAAGAGGACAAACCCTTGGAGAGTGGCCGTGAGGCAGAAGAGGTAGGCGAAGATCCTGCCGAAATCGAAATAAGTACAGAGACCAAAGATCCAGGTGATTCCCAGGAGAAAGAAGAGCAGCACGAAGAGGCCCAGTTGCTTAATGATGAGATCACGCGTGAAGAGGGCCTTATAGACACTCCAGGTGATGTAGCCCACCAATATGGCATTGGCCACTGTGATCAGACCAATCGGCAGGATGACTCCCAGACTCAAACCATATCCCGAAGGATAGCACAGAACAGCTGCATTCTGCGTGGCATTACTGGGTTTGTAGGAGTCGGGATCCAGGAAGACCACCATCAGGGTGGGTATTAGAGGCAATGTCCAGGCCACAATAGCGGATGCCAGAATATAGTGTCTTGGGTGATTGACTCCAATGACCCTGACATATCTTTGATACTGCAGGAAGCCAATGATGAACATCCAGCTGAAGACTACCAGCAGTAGGTACTGCATAACGGCTCCGATAAGGGTGCACCGCTCCAAATCGGTTTGACCCAGCTGCTCCAGTAACTGGCTTTGGCTCACCACCAGGAAGAAGAGCAACTGCAGGCCCAGGGCAGTGCAGAGATTTAGTAGTATCTTCGTCGAGGCTAGGGTCCTGAAGCTTTTGAAGATCACTGCAGTCAGGAAGATGATAAAGAGTCCCATCAGCGAGAGGATCAAGCCAACGTTAGTGATTATATCCAAGGTATGATCATCTTCATAGGTGTCCAAGCCAATCTGCATTTTGCTCACTCCCAGTAGGAAGGTGAACTGGGTGAGGTGATCCGCGTGGCAAAGGATCACCGGATGCGATGAGTTGTCCATGCAGCCACTGCCACAGGTGGAAATTCCATCACTTAGCCAGGTCTCGTAGTTCCAGTAGCCGCACCCACCTTCAGATTGAGTTTGATTCGTATTTCCATTGCGAAGGAAGAACGGCAACTTTTCAGGTAGTCTGGTGTCTAAAGAAGGAGAAGTTGTTTCAGTTCCTTTAGTCTATAAGCATTCTTACACTCACCTTCCACTCCTGGTAAGGTTATAGAGATAACATTACTAGTCGGTCGTCTGAGGAGTTCTTCTTTCGTCTCCACAAAAAGTGCATCTCGAGTATAGACCTTGAAGACCAAATAAGAGGCTCCCTTTTGCTTCAGTTTCCTCCAAAGTGTCTCAGGCAGAAAGACCGCAGTCTCCAGATTTTCCATCGCCCGCACATCATCCACATTATCGGACGAATGCAGCATTTTGAATTCCGATGTATTTGAGAAGATAGCCATTCCAGTAACATTCATCACCGACGGATCCACGAAAAACACACTCAGCTCGCTCGTCTTCAGAACCACAACTCCCATGTCAAGAACCGACTGGAAGTTGAACTCCGCACTGTTGCTAAAGGCGCTGATGTTATTTTGAAATATCTTTGAGCTCAGTGAATCTAAATAGTCCTCGAAGTTGCTTAGCAGGGCATTTGTGGCATTAACATCGGCTGAAATACGGAGGGTTTCGTTGTCCGTGGACATTACCTTCTGGCAAATCTTCATCAGGTCCCCGATGACTTCAGCCTTTCTTTCTGGTTTCTTGACGAGGGAATCGAATATCTCAGAGATACTGAAGACATCGGCGGCTGCGAGTTTTTCCTGTGACTGAGTCAAGAGGCCACTTAGCTGGCTAATCATGTCCGGCGGATTCTTTACAGCCAGAAGGTTTATACTTGAGCTGAGCTCGGGGGCTGATCTGCAGGTTATATGATCCATATCTTGCCAAACTCTATTTCCATTTCGAATCTGGCACCTTCGTGTGATGGGAATTCCTCTTTCATTGAGACACAGATCCCGCAGATGTGCTTTTTGCCCGACTCTTGTTTTCTCCACTCGATTGGTTCGTTCTTCCAAGCCGTCGCTCGTTATGTATTCCAGTTCGAAGTCCTCGGCCTTGCAGAATCCTCGGTTGCAGTCCTTGTAGGGATTGTGAGAGAGCTGTCCGTCTGTGTCCACGCAGAGGAGGAACCGCAGGTTCTTCAGGTGGCAGTAGTCCAGACACCTGCCAACGTTCGGCTGATCCAGGGCATAGAGGGGCGGGCCCGTACTCCCGAGCACGAGTATTATATAGCTTGCAATCCACCAGAGAAGCAGCAGCATAGTACTATATCTTTTAACTTAACTTAACTTAAGCGCAGGCTGCGTTGTCGCACTCCCGAAGCTCCGCGATCGACTGACGGGGGAGCGATAAAAAGCGACCGGCGATGAAACGTGTTTTCCGCTCCTCATACCCTGCAAATAGGGCCTGCAAGAACTGCCACTTTCTTACTTCTATAGCTGCGAATTTGATATGCTGGTCTAGTTCCAGCCAAGCTCAAGGTCAACAGGTTTGTTGGTCTGATGGTGGACAGAAGTGCAGCATCTTCTATTCTGTCTGTTCTAAAAATAAATTAAAATAAGGTATGTAATCCTAGGAAAGTCAATAATCTGCATTTTGTTCACAAATTAAAGAACTTTTATTATTTATCTATCTATCGAGGGTAGCGTTCTCCCTAATTAGAAAAGCAAATAATGCTGATAAAAGATAAATGGTACTTAACAAATTTGTATATCCGAAACGCTATACGCTTGATAAAAGGTTTTCCATATAATAATGAAGTTCTCGGAATTGATATAGATTGTTTGTTTATCTTTTTTACATCTCTGAAAGCATAATGATAGCAGTCGTTATCAGAATTCGAACTACCACTGATTGTTTATAGGGTAGTAAAGGGTTCGACTTCTGAACTCCCCTATCGTTCTCTCTGATTAGAAACCAACTCTCGGTTGAGAGAAGCCTTAACTATATGCATGCAACGATCGGTAGCTGCGGGATGTCAGCAACTGTGATAAGCAGCCACCTTTAGATACTTCACCCCACTGCTGACTAGAAGGTGTAGATAGGTACATTCAAATATTTGCACTCAGATAAAAATGTAATCATGCGGCGACTCTCTCAAAAATTAATGTTCTATTGTTCCAGGTGTGAATCTGCATCTTAGATAGGAAATCATTTCCAGTTCACAGTTCAAGATAAACTTAATTAAATTGAATAAAAAACAGAAATAACTTTTTTCAGTGCAGGGCCCATAAATCCGCAGCTTATGAGATCAAATCTGTCGATAGGTGGCGATGGAATTAACCGCGTGAATAATTAGATGCGCCACTTGAACAGCTGCCACCAACATCGCCAATGATCACTTGATATTTTTTCACTTTCTGAACAGCCACTCAGGTCTGAAGAGCCAGCGCGCGCTCGTAGGAACGAGTCTGAATATTTCCCGGCAATTTAGAGAACCTCCGTCATCTGTCATTGGCGGCAGAAGATGAAGCAGAGCTTGTAGCTGATGAATTGCCACATCTACTACTGTTCCTATAATTTGAGTTGATAAGGAAAACCACTTCTCATTCATTTATTTATGATTGAATTCTATATATATTAATTCCTGTTTAATGAACTGATAAATCAAGAAATAACTTCTATTCCCCGCAAGTATCGTTGAGTAACCCTGCTATGGAAGTCCACAGAAGTCTTGCCTAATGAGAAGGTTGATGTTTGTGAACTGTGGCCTCTGGCATTCGTTTTACAGTTTATGGAAATCAATAACATCTCTCTCTCTCTCTCTCTCTGCCCGAATTGCAGTATTTATATTCAATTATTAGTGATGCAAGTGGAAGATGCAACGACTGAGAGATGTCATGGCAGTGCAAGGACATTGTTTACCTTAACTGAGATACACCCATTATCCTATCGAATGTACACGCCCGGAGGCGACTTAATCTGAATGGGCTTGCGGATGCCAAAGCATTTCCATTTGATAGGCTTGTGCTCGCAATTCTGTAATAAGTGGTTTAAAATAGAAACTGATTCATGCCGGCAATTATAAGTACCAGGCAATTATAAATAAGCGTGCTTTCCGGAGTATTTATTACCATCTGCTAGTTAAGTAATTATTGTTTTTTAAACACACAAACATTGTGTTGAGCTTTTGAGTTAGTAATAATTAACGAAATAAAAGCAGTTAGGAGATACATCTGAACTGCAGTGCAGTTTCAGCCTTTGATATTCACATCTGTTATTTTATATTTACTTTTTAAAAAAGGTCTCCTTACTTACTTTCCTACATAATGTATTTCTATGGCAACAGTTTCCCCCACTTTTTGTTTGGGATAAGAAGCAATACCATCACTGGCACGTAAAACAGCACAAAAAGACACAGGACGAAGGAGCTGGGGAGAGGGTCCTGCTTTTCATTGTCATGGAAGATGGCCCGGCAACATGTTTCGGCTGTGCAGAGTGCTCTGGCAAAGTTGGTTCCACTTCAGGAATTTATTTACTCAAGTGTGATGCGATTATCCTGATGCACTTGTCCTTTGTCTCAATGCGCTAGTTACGCCCGCTGGGCACCGCCCCAAAAAACACAAACAGACTGGAATATTTCCGTGGGAGCTCGGAGCTCGGATCTCGCAGTTGGTATGTGCAGCCATTGAGATGCCCCAAAAGTTTAGTAACCCCATCTTGGCTCGGCCTCTTAATTAAATGCCAGCCAGATAGTCATCTTCTGGCAAACGAACTTGATTAGAGTCCAGGGGCAGTCGGTATTCTCCTTCTGCAACCAACACGCTCCATTTTCCTGGCACAATGTTGGCAGGACCTCTCGATGAGTTGGCTTCTTTTATTTCGCGGTTACCCTCAACTCCTTCACCGCACTCTCCAATGAAACTGGATCAAAAAGATGACTAGTAACGAACTCAAGTGTCCACAGCAGACGCCCTCTGTCTTCGAGTATAGGGTGTTATACATAAATTTACCAATGATAAATATTTTTATTTTATATTTTGATAAATAAAAGTCAGTAGTCAGTTATACTTTTTGATCTGTCAAACATTTGGGTATAATTTCCTTTTTCCACATTACTTACTTTCAGGGTATTCAGATCTTCGGTGTCCATAGTCAGCTCTCCTATTCAGTTTCATAGTTAGTTAGCATCCCGGCACAGTTTTTGGACTGGTAGAGAGCCATAGCCACCGGCGAACTGACAATGACTTTGAGGGTCTGCAGGCAGGCCAGCTACTATGATACCTGGTTATCCAACTGGCAGAATTGGCCCGCCCTTCCGCCCATCAGCCCGTCCTGACAACTCCTCCTTCAATGTCACCGCCAGCGATGTTCTGTCGCCAACGCAGATGCCTCTGTTTTTGTGGCCGGATGCTCTTTCGACCTTTGTGCGTTTTGTGGCGCTGAGAAGGGAGTAAAATAGCGCCAAAAGCCACCACAATTAAAACTTGGACAATGCGTTTAATTATGTTTGCGGAGAGTAATTAATTTATGCACCGCTTAAGCGCACATGAATATCCGATTGATGCACTCTGCGACTGCCGGTGCTGTGGGTTCTCCGAGTGGGTTTGCCGTGCTGCTTTGTCGCTAACAGGTGCTTGTTTAGCCACGCCCCAGTGCGCCTCATTGGCCGACCTTGCCGCCCATCAGCCACCCATCTGCCACCCATCTGCCACCCACCCATTCAATTTCAATTACTGTACTGTACGAGGACTTCTGTTTGCCGTTCGCACTGCAAGTGTCTCTAATTTATTTGCTGCCTCTGGAGCGCTGAAATGCTCATCTGCTTGACTGGAGCTGCCCGAAAATCTATTGTCGTAGGTAAATTGTGCGTGAGCCATTGACTAAGGCGGGGGGTTTGACAAAAATCAGCACGAAAGTAAATAACGCCGGCAATAAATAACGCCGGAAACGGAAGTCGGCTGGGGGTGGCACTGCGAAATCGAGTCGCGTCTAACAAATCAAAACTACTGAAATCCAGATTCCAAATGAACTGAAAAATGTTTTAAAAATATAATTTTATAGTTTTTTTCAACAGTTAAGTAGGTATTGTTGTATAAAATTCCCCTGCAAGAAAAAAGGCTGCATTTTCATGATAAAAAATTAAAGAGTAAAATTAGCATATTAATTAATTTTCGTATATAATCTTAATCCTTATCCGTATCAGTTTTTCATCATGTTTTTTTCGTACAATAGGGCTTAGTAAATATAAAAATATACTATAGTTAGTTAGTCGATATAGTATCATTCAGAATCAGACAGTCGCCACCTGTTGGGGGGTAGCTGAGAGTACTAGAGCGAGACAGCGTGCGAGAGCGAGCTTTTCCCGCCGAAAAGCTTATCCGACCGCCTCGCTTTCCTGACGACCAGCAACAACAAACAGCTGAGTGGGCCAGGCAATTGGCAGCCGACAAAGGAAAAGCGGACAAGTGTCCTGCGAGCCGCCTTTAATACGGCGCTCCTTCGGCAGGAAGCGCTCAGTCGTCGACGGCTGATTCAGGCGAATTGTTCACTCCGGCGGACAGTGTGCGGCGGAAGACCTAGCGGACTGGGAACACTCCTTGGGAAAAGTCGCGCGCGCGTTTCGCGTTCCTTATCACACGAGTCAGACAGTGAAAGTGGAAAGTTATCGCGAGAGTGAAAGCGAGACCCGGAGACCGTGGACTGGAGCTAAAAAAAGTAAAAAGTAACAAGCACAGAGATAAATCACAAGTTGCGAATAAACAAAAGCCAGGGGAATCGCCCAATAAAAAGAATCGCGCGGCTCAAACAAATGTAAATTATCCGCCCACACACACACTGGCTTTGTTTTTTGTGAGCCATATTCGTATATGACACACACACACAGGCATGCAGTCCACTTGGCCCCGGATATTAAAGCATACTTCTGTGCGCTCTAATTTATTTCGGTCCCGGGCAGATATTTCACGCTATCATTGTCCTTAATTTATGTGGTCCTGCGATTCTCGTGCGAAAGTTGCCAAATAGAAATATTTGCCTCAATATGTCAAAGTTTATTAGACATTTAGCTTTGCGTGCCCACGGCAATTTGCTGACAGTTGTTTTAGTTGCTCGGACGATAGTGAATGTCCATTATATTTGATAAATGCCCAGGCGGACACAGAGTTGAATCTACAATTGCTTTTGCCACATTTTCCGCTCAGTTCCCTTTTACCCAAAAGATGCACTGCAGAAAAAGGCGGACATAATATATTCCCTTAAAAGTTTCTGAGAAGAAAATCGCCTTAAAAGTGGTAAAAGTTTGTATTCCTTGGCAGTAAATAATAGTACTTGGAGTAAATAATAAGTAAAATTATTTGAATTTGGGTGCTCTCTGAAGGGTTTTCCTTGATTTTGTAAGCCAGTTGAAATATTATTTTTCCACTGTACAAACTCAACTTTGTGGAGGACACGGCATCCACATCCTGCGGCAGTCCTGTGGCCATGTTGTGTGCACTGTGCCTCATTTTGTGCCCTGGCCTAATGGCAGGCTCATCATTAACTCAGTTATTGTCAGTTTAGCGCTAAATTGACAGGCAGAACGACGGGCCTCCAGGAAGGGGGCATGCTGGAGGGGGTCTTTTTCAACTGGGCCGAGTAAATATCGTTTTGTTTTTACTTTCGCATCGCCGTCATTTTGTCGCAATTATCAAATGGCGTGCTCGTCATCGCCAAACAGCAGTGACAAATGGCCCCATCGAAGAAACTTTGGCCCCTCCTTCAATAAGCCTGGCCAAACAAATTGCAAAGCCCTCGGAATCGAGACTTATTTACACTCTTGTCCCTCGACTTCGGGACGAAAATAGCACAAGGACCTTCTGTTGACAGTGCCTTACCGTTATCAAAATGCCAAATGTTGCACGTAATTAAAATTCGCTCAATTGGAAGGATGTCAGCAGCCCGAGGTCATTCGCAAATAGGTATTGCTGGTGGAAGCTCTGCTGATTAAAATTCCCCATTCGGGAATATCGCAATAGGCAAACGTGAGGGTTGAAAAAGTCAAACAATGACATACATATGGCTTAAATAAACAACAGCCATGGCAGGCACATGTACACACGAAATACATGCTAATATATCTGTCTTATTACGAGGCTCCTAATGGGCTACAAAAATGTCTGTCAAGATGGACGAAAATCGATATTTCTCTCCGTTGGCTTGTTTAAAGTGTTTAAAGCGTTCTCGGCAGGCAGGTGGAAATCCCTCACGGCTGGCCGAACTCACTGTGCTTTTCCCCGTGTAACTTATCATTGCTGTGCAGGCCAAGTTTCCCTCTTTTCAATTCGAGGCAACTTTTCCGGCCAGGGCTGCCATTTTGTGCTCCACTCGTTTATGCCAATCCTGCCCTCAAGGCGATCCCCTGCCTAGGCAACTCCCAAACTCTGTACACTCCGTAGAAACCCAACGTTGGCAATGCCTTAATTGCCCTGCACTCGTCGTGGCGCATAAATTTCGAGTTTCACTCGCATTCGCTCTTGGCCAAAACTGTGTGTGTTACCTGTTTTTACCCGACTTTTGTGTAATTAACCAGACGTATGCACCCTTTGTAGCCTTGTTTTTGAAACGCTAAGCTGTCGTCTCAGCTGCTACCCTATGAGTTTCTAAGGATTTATAAAGAGCATATATGAGAGAATGTTCTCTACTGTTTGTTTTTTGGGTTCTTATATCTTTTACTTAAGATTGAAGGATTTTTATAGGTTAGATCTAAATCTGTGGTTCTAGTAAGCTTATATCTTTATTTTCATTTTTTTAAATCATATTTTATTTTATACTTACCACCCTTCTGGGTAGCTAAAATACAAAGAAAGTTGTCTTGTACTTTCTTGGGGATACATAACCAGTTTTTCAGGGCATCTAAGGATTCGCCAATGCAAATCCCAAGCCCGCATTTTCCTCGCTTAAATTGTGACCCAGTTGATGGCTGAGCTGCGGTTGATGGTGTGCTTTTCTATTGGTGTATCGGTGTGTTGTGCCTTTGGCTTCCGCACGTGTTGCATGTGGCATGCAACAAACAGCACATATATAGCACACAAAAATGCAGATGTAACGGCGCGGCAGCCGAAATGGCCCTAGAAATTGTTGCTGCCAAGTTTGGAAAGTGCTTGGGGCCACTTGGCCCGACTTTTCTTCCTGCGCTCATTTAAATATTTGATTAAAGTAGGCCTTTAAAGCGAGACTGGAAAACTGGTGAGCGGAGAATGGAGAGTGGGCCAGCAAAACCGATTTGATACCACATAAAATATTCATAAATGGCAGCGTTGCAATAATAACACTCCAACGCATTCAATTGCCGACCCGCTGCTCATTCATAAACCGAACGAACATTCTCCACTTGCCACTTGCCTCGCTCATAATTGTGCAGACCGCAATGTTTACATTGTAATTTTCATTACACTTTTTGCGTTTATCATAGCAGTCATATCAGTTGGGTAAACAAATATAATTTATTACATTTTCGTTGTCGCGCTCCCAGGGGAGCTGTGGATGTCGGCCGGCGGACAGACGAATCGCGGAAATGAAATAAATTGCAATATCAATATTGAATTCTGGTGTCCAATTTCAGTTGTGATATGCGTTTGAACATATTCGTTGTGAAAGTGAATTAAATACGCCAGCAACGCGTTTCAATTAAGCGAAAACCGGAAAAGAAAAAAGCACCAAAATGGTAAGTGGTATTTAATTAGGAATCTAATTAGGCGTGAAAAAAACAAAAGGATTTAAAGTCGCTCCCATCAGTTTTTGTTTCGATTAAGACACCTGCTTCGGAAAGCCCTCAAGTTGATCTAATGATTGCGATTTTCGCAGCATTTCAAACGTGCTTCATGCCTGCTCCCCATTGAACTTTCTTGCTATCTCTGGGTGGCATTTGAGACTCCATTCTCGTGCGCTGTAACAACATTTCAATGCGCCCAACAAAGGCAATAAACATCAAATATCGGTTAGATACATCTTCATCAGACAACCGAGCAGAAAAACAGAAAACAGAAAGCCCAGGGAGCTAAAAAAAAACCAAAAAGCAACAGCAGACACAAACAAAAACACAGAAAAACACACTGTCGGCCCGAGGACGAAGCCTCATGTGTGGCCAACTAGACGTATGCGTAATGTATGTAAATGTATTTCAAGTATTTTGCTTGTTTAGTATTACTTCCGGCGGAAGCGATTGATTGCGCTGCGTATCTGGATGGCAGAGGTATGTCAGCCGCATCTCTTTTTTATTTCCTTTGAGGGACTTGATTTCGCACAACAAATCAAATTGATTGCTTTTCGGATACATTTAAAACGAAATGAAAATGCGCAATCGCTATTGATTTCGCATATTTCAAATTTATCGACTCAAATCAAAGCCTCTGTCCCGTCTGCAAACGCAATTAAAGCCCAAGAGCTCACATTTTTACGATGCGCCAGTGTCGGCAGCAGATATAGAGACACTAGAGTGACAATATTGATGTTTGTTTGAGAGCCACCATAAACATAAGTACTAATCGGTTACTGTTCTCTCTTAAATCGCAGTATGGCTTCGTTAACTACGCCCTGGAGCTGCTGGTGCTGAAGCATTTCGGCGAGGAAATATGGGAGAAGATCAAGTAAGTAGCGTTCAAGTGCCAAGTCAACAGTCACCCGAACTCATTAGCCAAATGGCACAGTGCTCTGCGAAACCGAATCGCTCTCCTCAATACAATCTCGAATTACCCGAAATATCCTGCGATTCATTTCAAGGTCGTGCGCCCGCACAAACAGATTAACAGCCACGCACTTAATTAATAACTAAAATACATAAATCCCCCCACATTTGTCTGCCACGTACCGCAATTAACTAATTATCCATTTTTCACATCGGACATGGACATTCAGTCGATGGGCGTGGCCCGCCCACACAGTCGTAGTCGCAGTGAGATATACATAAATTAATTGAGGCTGTTTGTTGTTGGCGGCGCATAAACAAGCAGGACACGCGTCGCATTAATGCGTACACGGATTTCCCAGGCCCCCAGAACCAAGGGGTCGAACCTACAAGTGCAGCCTAAAAAGGTGCACTTTAAGAAAAGAAGAGGAAAGAAAAGTTCAAACTATATTCTAGATCATGTCTTATTGATTAAAGAATGTGGTTTGTGGGCATAACAGTTGATCTTAAGTAAGGCCAACATATATTTGAGGGATACTCCCTGTCAAAGGACTCCTTATTTCCCTCAGTGCACTAAGTTAGCGGAAATCAACGCCCCGAAACGGCAACGCGCCTTTTGCGAGAGTGAGGGTGAGTTTGTTTATAGGAGCGTTAGTGTGACTACTGGCTATATATACTATATGCGATTCGCATTTATCTTAATTAAGTTATTGATATTGCTACATGGCTGCGCCCGTGTGTGTTCTAGTTTGCTGGCGAGCCTTGAGCCCTGAGTCATAGACTAAAGGAGTAGTCTCCTACTAATTGGCCGTGATTTATGATTTTGGATTGCCTAACCGCAAGTCACTTGCCATTTGTATCGGCCACGTTTACAGATTGCTAATGAATTGAGGCAGTCAAGGGGCCGCCTGGCCCAGACAACCCTTTAATTATGGCGAAGAAAAGGGAAACATTGCCAACTTTTCTCATTAGGTGGGTCTGCTCAGAAGGAAAAGGTAACAATGGCAACGTTCGCAGCACACTGGGAAAATAGTAGACCTTTGATGTGAGAAGTCAGACTAAAATATTTCAAAATCAATGACTTTACTTAATGAAAGGAATTCAGAGGCCTTAAATTAATCAATACGCTCTTCACAACATTATTGGGTTTCTTTAAATAAATGAATTTACATTTTCATTACACCCTACTAAGTTATTTTTCTTGGTGCAGTGGCGACCCTTCAATTTAAATGCCTGCCAATGGGGTCGGCATTGACATGACTTTAATTACATTGCAGTTAGTTGGCAGTCGAAGCCACAGTCGTAGTCGCAGTGCCTCGGGAAATCGCTGCAGCGAGAATCAAACTCATTATCCAGCACTTGAGGCGCCAAGACAAAGACGGGTTCTCGAGTCCCACGCCCATGTCTTGTGCCTTCTGTCCTGCGGCCTCCGCTCGGGGCCATAGTCCTACCACCATCGTTCTCGTTCCTCAGATGGGCCACATCGTTTGACGCCGTCCTAGCACTTGAAGGCATTGTCAAAGCGATCATTAAAGCGAGGAAAAAAGAAAAGAAAAATGGAGGCCACAAAGGGAAAAGGGGCCCAGGGACGTAGGTGGAGAGGTCTGGCTTGTCTGGTTCTGCCCGGCTCGTGGCATTGGCATTGGCATTTGCCTTGATTGACACCCAGCTGACCGCATTGATAGATAGTAGTCAGTCGGTCTACCTCTTTGTCTGCCCACTTCTGATTGCTTTTAAAGCCTGCTCCCAGGACCTTAAAGTCGGCTCCTTTTCTGCAGCCTTGCCGCTCGTGTTTGCGGCCACTTAATCAGAATCAGTGCGTTAAGTGCTTTATGCTACTTGGTCTCGGAGCATAATTGCAGCACATCAATCTGCAAATGGGTCTCATTAATTTGCCTAAACAAGCTGCTGGATGATGGCGAAGGAGGAGGCAGCAAACTTCCAGTTTAAAGCAAAGATGAAACCGAGTAGATAGCTTAAGGCGTCACATTAACCAAGTAGCTACACAAAGGAAGACCATCGGTACTTAGGTTTAAACTGATTAGTTACTTCATCTGAGGCACTGATAATCCCATTTCTATGAAAATTTAAGCACTTTGTAGCAATGTTGATTGCTTTGATAGGAAAAATGATTATTGTTGGTGTTCTCGGTGAGTTTAGAGTGTCAGTTCTTCAACCAATACACTCACAACAGCCAACCAACGTCCAACCATTCGCGTTATTGTTATTTTCCCTGGCTCAGCTTTTCATCTGCTGCTGTTGCAAAAGTCCCTGTTATTGTTATCCTGCTGGCGATGTGCGTGTTTGTGGCACTTTAGACAAAAATCGATTTGCCTATAAAATGCTTTACAGCAACGACCACAATGCGGCCACAGGCAGGAGTGGAGGCTAGAGGTTCGAGGTTTGAGCTGCTTGGCTTGTGCTGGAATTGGATTTGCCCTTTGTGCGAGTGTGTCAATATGTCAGTCAACTCTATAGACACTATATAGTCATATGGTCATATGGTCTTGTGGTCTGAGCTGTCATATGAGCCGCAGCTGCTGGTCAGTCGCCAATTCACGCTAATGCGTTCCGATGCCTCATCCTTTTTCTCATCGACCGATTTAATGCGTGCGGAACGATATCACTAATTTGGTTGAGTGTCGAGTGCTTTTAGCAGCGTGAAATCATGCTCCAAGCTCCCTATCCCTATTTCAGGCCAAGGGCTTGTGATGTATGGCTAGAAAGTTTCCCGAGCACGTCAACGCCGACTTGTCATATTAAATGTAAATTTGTTAGACATTTTTGAGGCGAACACGTGCCATTGCCGTTTACCAAATACTTTTGCGACTTATTAGCTTCGCCGGGGAGAAGGAGTTGAGTTCAAGGAGAGATTCTTGCTGACAAATACGGAAAATCCATCAATCTTCATTGCGCTTCACTGGAATTTCCATCAGCATTTCGGAATTGGGGCGGTGAAAAAGCAATCAGCCAGCATTTTGTCAAGCATCCTGCTAAGGACACTCATTTGATTGCAGGCATTTGCGAATCCTTTTCCATTAAAAGCGCATTTGTACGTACATATCTTTGTAAAAGTATTTATATACGGCTTTGATACGCGTTCAGCTTATTTTTTGGTTACTTCGGGCCATTAGTCGCCCACACACTCAACCAATGACCTGACTTTTTTGGCCATGTCTGTTTTTTTTTAGATATTCATAGGAACATTCTCATTCTCTCACACACACACACACGCCCGCAGCATTATGTCTTTTTCCCTGTTGTTTGCCACACTCACATCACTTTACACACCCCCTCGAACACACGAAACGAAAATCGATCGCATTTTCATGGCAGACATTATGGAAATTCGAGTCGATGTTCGAGAGTGTGTATCTGGGGCTGGGGTAGGGAAAATGGCATTTTTGAGGCTTGTAACGAGTTGAGGGTGCCCGTGCTAATGCGTCAAAAAATGTGCGTTGGCCTGGCCAAAAAAGTTCTGAGCGAAACTCAAACTCCGCAACTTTTTAGCTGACAGCTGGCAACATTTGGGGAATGCAAACTGTGCCGCAGGCAGCGCCAAAAACTCAAACACGAAACCAAACATCGGGCAAACACAAACGAAACACCTGTTTCCCAAGTGCTGTTGGCATCCAACTTAAAATCGCGACAAAGCGAGTCAACAATCTGACTAAAATATATGAAAAACGATTTATTTGCAAAAACAAATTTTTATGAAACTTTACTTTTTGGGTGATTTTGTGTGAAACAAAAACTACGGTCACAAAAACTCAAACACTATTGTTGAATATTATGGCGTTCGCATAAAATCGCAGCACTGCCAGCTCACCCCTCCCCTTCGCCAGGTGAAGTTCTTGCTCAACTTTTTGCATTTACAATATTTTCATATTGCCGCTCCAACTGTCGTCGCCATTTTGTCAACTGTTTTCAGCTCACAGCAAATATTGTTACGCTTTATTGACTCCCGTGATGCGGGCAAGCTGCTCCACGTCAGCTGCAGCCACGCCCCGCTCGCAGGAGCATCCTGTTTCGCCCCCCGGCCTGGACATTTGACACGTTTTCGCACTTATCGCCGAGATTACTTTTTGCTTTGATTGCATTTCTTTGGCTTGACGACGCGACTCCTTTGCTTCATTTATTGTCTGTTTGATTGCTTCATATTTTCGGCCGAAACCTGGTATCCTGGTGTTCTGGTGTCCCGGAATCCTGTATCTGACACTACACTACAATCCCCCGGTTTATTGTTGAAAGTTTTCCGTTGGCGTTTTATGTGCTCTCCACTTTTATCGCTTTATGAATTATGCGTCGCGTGCGTGCGGCCCAAAGTTGGCGGCGTTGCGCATACGCAATGTTGGACCTGACGCCTTCAATTCACTGGCACTCGAGCATTATCGCCATTAATGGCTTGTCAATAGGGCCAGCGACTTGGCCGAGTGTCCTTTCGTGCGTTAAAGGCAAATGGTGTGCAATAATCTAAATAAAACGGAGCCCAAGGAGGCTAATTATAGTCAAGACAACGGGGCAGCCACTTGATTACGATTATGACAAGCCATTAAGCAGACAAAGGCAAAGCGAATGGCCATTATTAATCGACTTATTGTACGGGAATCGGTGGAATGTAAAAGGCGGCAATAGTTATCAGGAAACCAGCCACTTTGGTAACACGAAACCTTGCATTATGTAAGTTTAATTAATATTTAATTAAAAGGGCAGGGTAGCCTTTGACAGGAACATAAAGTAATATGATATATTGGATAGGACTAGGAAAATAATTACATTTTTAATCGATTAAGAAATTACTCAAGGGAGCATTAAGGTTTCAGTTTTATCTAAGTAAAAAGTTTGTCAGTCAGAATTTAAGAATGGAATACCTAAGACCAGATCCGACACAACATTCCTCTTTAAAAAGTTCAATTACAGGGTAAAGGCAAATATTTGCCTTGCAGCCGCCCGCGCTTGAGT